GAAGCATGCTTTGTTTTATATAGAGAATATTTATTTTAAAAATATGCCTCACCTCATATATATATATATATATCCTATTATTTGTATTATCGATAGAGCCTGATGTGGGACTCGATCCCAGGACTCTGGGATCATGACCTGAGCTGAAGGCAGTCGCTTAACCAGCTGAGCCACCCAGGCGCCCAATGTTCTATCATTCCTATACATTGAAAACTTGAGCTATTTACACTTTGTACCTAATAACATAGAGTGGCATTTTACATGGTGGTTAGATTCTGACATGCATATGTCAACAATCTTGTGTGGTCAAAGTCACCCGTGAAAAGCCTTTTACTTATCTAGGAGGCATATTATCTCTCAGTGAGTCCACCGTAGAATTTAATTAGGATTTTTTAAAAATTCCCTTTGTATTGGGCGCCTGGGTGGTTCAGTTGGTTGAGCGACTGCCTTCGGCTCAGGTCGTGATCCTGGAGTTCCGGGATCGAGTCCTGCATCAGGCTCCCTGCTCAGCGGGGAGTCTGCTTCTCCCTCTGGTCTTCCTCCCTCTCATGCTCTCTCTCATTCTCTCTCTCTCAAATAAATAAATAAAAATCTTAAAAAAAAAATTCCCTTTGTATTTATAATTGCCCTTCTTCTTCTCCCTAGGGCTATTCCAACCTGGAGACAAGGACTTGACAAAAGAATATGAGATAATGAAGTTGGTATTCAGTTGATGAGAATGTCAGCATATTCATACCAGGAGAGAGTCACTGACCACGTTCTTTAAATAGTACTAGCCCCAGTCAGATTGATAACTGTGTTGTATGTGAATCGACAGGTACTGAGTTTCATGTGGCATTGTTGTAGCTCATGTTTATACTCAGAGGGTATTTAATGTGTATGTTGGCCTATTATTGATGTAAACGTTTTTTGAGTAAGTGTATGTTACAAACATGATTTCATTTAAATACTCAGAACATTTCAAAGATATTTTGTTTTTGTTATGGCATAGCAAAATAAGTTGGGACAATCATAGAGTAACTTTTTTTTTAAACAAAAATTTTTTAACATTTATAACTTGGATGTGAATTAGCTCAAGTAACAAAAATGCAAAGGTTTTCCTTTTTTTGGGGAAGTAAGTTAGTACTTTTCTAAGTTTAACAAATTGGTAGTTTGTCAGTTGTTACATTTTTGTGTAATAAATATTTTGTATTTGTTGGAAGCATGCTTTGTTTTATATAGAGAATATTTATTTTAAAAATATGCCTCACCTCATATATATATATATATATATATATCCTATTATTTGTATTATCGATATCTTTTTGGTTTCCTTTAGCTATTCCCAATTTCCCTTTAGCCTTTCTGGATGTCACACATTTATAAAGCCTTTGTGTCTATCACATCTTCCTAGCTGGTGCAGTTTTCTTTACTGCTTCTGTTTGGCTCAAAATATTTGGTCAAAAGAGTTAACTTTAAAATTTCCAAACTTTTGTACATGAAAACACAATTTAACTTAATTTGACTCAACTTTTCATATTATAAAATCTTAGTTCCTAACTTTAATCAGTTCCCATCTTATAGGAAAGATCCCATATATGTAATAAATATAGGAACCTCATTTCTTTTAACTTTTATCTTAGAATATCTTTAATTTATAACTTGATACATCTAGGTCAAATGACTCAGAAATTTACTAATAGTAGTAACCTTTACTTATTTCACAGTTAATCACCAAAGCAGATGGCTTCCAAATTTTGTAAACCAAATTCTGATTATACAATTATTAGTGCAAAATGAGAGAAATAACATGAAACATCCTTAATCAGGAATGTCTGTTTTATTTGTAGTCCTTGTTCTCTATAATTTTTTCTAAATGATTGGAGGCAGTTTAAGAAATAAAATATTGAATTGGACAACAGATTTTAAACACAGAATGGAACTACTACAAGATAGAAAAAAGAAAGGTTTCTTACATATGGCTTTTGAACATGTTGCTTTTTATTGCACAGAAAGGCAGCTATCCATTTCCTGCATCTAAGGGAAGCATACTGGGTAGTGTGATTTTATGGCTTTTTGTCTGGTTTTTGGTTTGTTTCTTAATAAAAGTATGGAGTTTGCTTTGACAAAACCAGTCCTTCTAACTGAATCTAAAATAAATGAGGGATTTATTATATGGATCCTCTATATAAAAGGTATAGAATAAGCAATAATTAATAGTATCTTCAGATATAGGCTTGTAGAAGAGATAAACATTTCTTATACTGATTTAAAAAGGATATGAGTAAGAAATTTAGAAAAAATCCCTAAAAGGAAAATGTTAATAAAGCACCCATAATTCCATTACTCCAGGGTAACTTTTTCCAAAAATATGCCTACATATTTTAAAATAGCTACAGTCATAGAGTACATTTTATTTACTGTACTGAATTACATTATACATACTTTCCTATGTTTCTATAGAATTCAAACATTATTGTTTAATGGCTAAATAATATTCAATTATATAGATGTTTTATCATTCCCATACTTTTTACATGGGGGTTGGATTCTGTCATGCATATGTCAGTAATCTTGTGTGGTCAAAGTCACCCATGAAAACCTTTTTACTTACCTAGGAGGCATATTACATTATTTCTCTGTGAGTCCATCGTAGAATTTGGATCAGATTGCTGGTTCCTGAGCTGAGAATCAGATGAAAATATTTGGGTTCTCTTTAGTGGCCCAGTTGAACAGGATTGTCTTTCTGAGCATATATAGGCTGCACTGTTCATCCTAATAAATATGTGTGATATGACTCCACTTTGAACATGCTCAGACATTTGGTGGTGCATGTTTGTGAGAGAGTAAGATCTTAACTGTAATAACAGAATGAAAACTCTAGACGGGGCATACCTGAAAAGCAAGGAGCGTGGCCTCTCTGTTTGTAAGGGAGCCTGAAGAACAGCCCTCCCCGCATACCCAGCCCTTTGGTAATGCAGTATTTGTTAAAGACATACAGGAATACCTATGAATAAGTAGTTACTAGTACCTAAAATTAGGCACTCTGGATTACTGAATAGGTAGAAGATAACTCCAGCCCACACAGTATGTATTTTAAGTAGATTTTTCTAAGAAAGCTAACAATTAAAATCATACTCAAACTTAGCCTAGCTGACTATAGAGAACCTAGGTTTGAGCCTGATCTTTGGGTGGATTTTTTGCCCAAAGACCACCTCGTGACGCAAATTAAGTTCCTCTTTAAAAAAAAAAAATAGCCAGAAGCATGTTGTTTCATTTTTTATATACGGGTAGTTGATGAACATTTGAGCTTGTTTGCTTGGCAAATTGATGCAACATTGATGAACACACAGACTCAAGCATTAAGAATACGATCTTTTAAGACTTGAAAAAGAAAATGATGCAGTCACACATATGAATATGTAGTAAGTCTATATTGTGTGTATATACGTATATTGTGTATATATACAATATACATATTTTAAGTGATTGCTGGTATCCTAGAGAGGACTAGGAACGTCTCTGAACTTAGGAAGCGTCAATAATTATTTAATAAACATTTATCTCCACGGCTTGATTTGAAGGTCTAGCCTCCCTATCCATTCAGTTTAAAACTGGGGCCTTCCAAAAAGGACTTATTCTGATCCATCCATTTTCACATATACCATCGTTTAGGGCCGTGATTGTCTCAAAGCGAACTAGAAACTTTTGATCTTGCACTTCCTTTAAAATATCTAACGAGGATAAAAAGTTCTGGAGGGATTTGTGGGCTGAATTTTACAAGGCTCGAGAGGGGTCTCCAAGCCTGCGGGGCACTGCCCACCCCCGCGCGCCATGCCCGCGCGCCAGTGTCGCCCCTCGGGGTTCCTTCACGCCGCGCGCCAACTGCTTCCGGGTCGCGGCGGACGTCGCTTCCGCAGCAGCATGGCGGCCACGGAGGATGAGCGGCCAGCGGGGAGCGGAGAGGGAGAGCGGCTGGATTTCCTGCGAGATCGGCACGTGCGGTTCTTTCAGCGCTGCCTCCAGGTCTTGCCCGAGCGTTATTCTTCGCTCGAGACCAGCAGGTAACTGGGGGCCACGGCCAACGGGGGTGGGCACGGGGCTCCGGCCCCAGCGGAAAGGCACCGCGGAGCCGGCCGGCTGACCCGGCGCCTGCGGGGCCTGCGCCGCCGCCCACCCGGCACTGCCGGGTCCCTCTCCTCTCGGGCGGGTCTGCAGTCACCCTCACTTCCCCGAGCTGTGGCCGGAGGATTGGGGCAGCAGTAAGTGGAGGGCTTGTGCAACCTCCAGTTTCTGCCTTTATCACTTCCCAACCATTTTTCCTGTCAACTCTGAGCTTCCTCTTTATTCCCACTACGAGGCTGTGAATCACTTGGCCTCGTTACTTCCGAGTATAGAAGGAAAAAGACAAATCATTTTAGGTAAATATCCTCGCCTGTGCTACCCTTTCCTCCAAAACGTTATTAACTCTTAATTGAATATCTGTATGGCGTGTCACGTATAGGAGCGGCGCAGAGCCTGTAAGGTTTGAGTAGAAATTAACTTTCCAGGAATTGTAAATCTAAGGGTAGGAGAAGGTTGGCGGAAGAGGTGCAGTGTTCCGTGAAGCAGCCTGTTAAAAGTGTATTTGCTGTAGCCTTGTGAGTTGGAGTTGGCTGAGGAGTGTGATTTGGCTGCGGCTAAAAAACTGAATTAGTCATTCAGAGTAAAAGTCTGGGGATGAGAAAAAAAAGGAGGCGGTCCTTGCTCTGCAGTGCTGCGTTTTGAAGTGAGGCTCCAACGCCGCATGGGACTGGATAAGGAGAGAGCCGATTGGTTTTGCTCTAATCTCCGTATTTTTTGAACTCTGATTCTCTGGTGTATTTTGAACATTGCATGGCTGGGTCAGATTTGTAAGTTTTATGGATTCTGCCTAGTGCTCTAGAAATTTAGTATGAGAGGTGCTGGAGTACAGCTGAACAAGACAAGTGGTTTCTATAGAGTTCTGTGCAGCATAGGGTTAATGTGTGTTAGCATAGGGTTAATGGCGTGTAGAAAGAGCAGATATCTAATCCAGACTTCTTTAGAGAGGCCTTCCCAAAAGAGATCCATCCCTTCCAGTCATCACCTTAAATTATATATTTATTGGTTTATTTGTTTAATATTTTTCTTCCACGCGGGATTGTAAACTTCACGAAAGATCTTTTTCTAGTTTACCTCTAGAGCTGTCCTGTCCGATGTAGTAGTTGCTAGCCACATTTGGTTTAAATTTGGGTTAATTAAAATTAAATCACATGAAAAATTCAGTTCTTCTGTTTGCAGTCGCCACTGCATTTCAAGTGGCCAGTCACCACATTGGCCAATAGCTTTTGTTGCTATTTCAACATTTCCATCATCCCAGAAAGTCTATTGGGCAGTACTGCACTAGGACCTTGAATAGTATGTGGCATATAAGAGGCACAAAGTAAATATTTGTTAAATAATGTGAGCAGAGCCCTGAATAATGAACACATTCTTGCTAAAGGAAGAGTGAAGCATTATTTATATTCCTTTCTCTATCCATAGGTGTTGATCAGCAGAGCACATCCCTAGACCTAAATTAAGGTTTCCAAAACTTACCCACTGAGTAGAACAATATGCTCTGAAACAAAGGATGTTAATAGATCACACATTTTATGGGGATTAATTTTATGTGAATTTGAAGCGTTTAGATAAAAAATCTGACATCTTGTGCTTGTTAAACAGTTGAACTTTGCTCGTAGCTGTCATTTTAGGTCTGTGGTTGTATTTTCAAAGTGCCAGTGTTTGCTCTATTTAAAATTCCAGCATGGACAAAACCACGTATACTAATGCATGTTGGTAAACTGTGTAATGGTGCTCATAGCATAAGTAAAACTGCAAAAATTGTCTGATTGAACAACTGATTTCATAACTTCAGTATAATCTTAGAATCTACACCAGGCATTATATAGTAGATGATAATGTATGATGTCATGGTGTATTAGTTAAGAAATATTAGTTATGTCCTTTTTGTGCCTAATGTTTATCACTTGAGTAGAATATTTTTTATTTCCTGTTTTCTTATGGCACACTTAATAACCGCATTTAAACTAATGCGCACGTAGCAGTTTTTGTAGTGATTTTTTCAAGTTTTTCAGTTTTTCTCTTTCCTGAGTCAGTCTTTGCTTTCCTTAGTTTAGCGTTAAGTCCTTTTGTGGTGTATGTGATTTATAATTGTATGCTTATGAAGGAGCAGCGAGCTTTTAAGCAAAGGCGACTGATCGCAAAATTTCTACTGATGCCAGAGTTTTCAGATAAAACGATGTGTTTGCTAAGTGACAGTTCTTAACCTGGTATTGCTGTTTAATTCCATAGACATCTGTTGAGTGCCTACTGTTTGGGTACAGGGATGCAGTGCAAAACCGGTGATTTTTGGTGTGCCTTTCTTCTTACTGATAGATGTGACAAAGCAGACTCTCAGGAAGGCTGATAACGGACTAGACATTTAGATACTTATTTTTTGACCCACCATTTTGGCAAAATTACTTTCATTTCCCTTTTGCTTTTAGTTTGACAAATAGGACTGAATAATTTTTATTTTTCTAATAACAATGGCTTTATGAAAATAAAGTGTGTTGTTTCGCCTGTGGCTTTTTTTCATTTTAACTTCTGAAAGGTGGTAGTTATTAGTTACCTCATGTGAATATTAAACCTTGGGTTGTGAGCTTTGTGCATTAACAGGCTTCTTTTTTGTGAGTGGTTTAGAGAGTTTTTTGGTCATAAGTTGTTATTGCCATTTGTATTTGGGTAATGGGAGTTAAAATAGGTTTTTTTAATCGGAGAACAAAATACTGACCATTTTCTATGTATGTTATTTTTACAGATCCAGCTGCTCTCAAAGAAGGGTTTAGATGTTTGGTTTTTATTTTACAGGACATCACAATCTACCTAGTCTTTCGTAGTCCTTCCATATTCCCCTGTGTAGCCTATGTTGTAACTGCTCAGCTGACTACCATCTAGCAACTACTCTGCTCTTTCATTCCCTCCCTTACCTGAAATATATTGCAGTCCAGCAGTGTGTTTCTCAAAGCGTGATGGCGACGACGGGAGGCTCTAAATCAGTGACATCCTCACATGCTTAGAAGATGCAAGTACCTGGGGCGCCTGGGTGGCTCAGTCTGTTAAGCGTCTGCCTTTGACTCAGGTCATGATCCCAGGGTCCTGGGATCAAGCCCAGTGTCAGACTCCTTGCCCAGCAGGGAGCCTGCTTCTCCCTCTCCTCTCTGCTTATACTCTCTCACTGTCCTTCTCTCTCTCTCTCTCTCAAATAAATAAATAAAATCTTTAAAAAAAAGAATGCAAGTACCTGGGCCCCTCCCCGGTTCTGCATCAGACTCTTTGTGGGCCTGCCAGTGTACATTGTGACAAGCATCCCATATAGTACTCATGCACCCTAACGTTTGAGACTGTTTGCCTGATAGGAGAAACAGATGTACAAACAGATTCTTAAAACAGTGCCTTCCAGCTCTAATGTGCATATAAATTACCTGGGGATCATCTTAAAATGCAGATTCTGATTGCATAGGTCTGGGAGGGGTCTAAGGCCCTGCAGGTCTAACAGGTTCCCAGGTGATGCCGATGTTGCTGATCCCCTGACCACACTTGAATTTGTTTGCACAATGATTGTGGATTCACAGGATGTTATGGAAGCACCTTAGCTCAATCTGAAGAGAGACATGTCTCAGAGATGGCTTTTTGGAAGAAGTAACCCTGGAGCTAAATACTAAAGAATGTGTTTAGTTTGGGGGCATGGGGGATGGATTTTAGGCAAATGGAAAAGACAATAAAGGTAGATAAGTGAATGTTGAGCAGAGAAACTGCAATCATTTGTCTAATAGTGGTTCAAAATGTAAGGCAGGTGTGGTAGGAATTTAGTCTGGCAGGCAGACATGGGCCAGATTACAGAAGGCTTTGTGTGCCCGGTCAAGAAACTTGAGTTTGATATCACATAAGTGATGGAAAGTTGCCAAACAGTGGATCTTCCTCGTTAGATACGCATTTCAGAGTGATCGTTGAATTTGAGATTGGTTGTTGTAGTAAGCGGGAGGAGACCAGAACCAGGAAGACTGGTTAGGGAGCTGTTGTAGACCAGTTAGGGAGCCAGATGCTGGGGCAGAATGGATAGGATGAAGGGGTAATAGGAAAAAGGAGGAGTTCCAGGATTCTAGGATTGGAATTGCCATCTGGTCTAGAGAATGAGGGGCAAAAGGAGTAGGTTTAGAAAGGAAGATGATTTCTTTCTTTCTATTTTTATTTTGACAGCGAGAGCACTAGTGGCTTGGGGAGGGAAGGTGGAAAGGTGGAGGGGAGAAGGGAGAGAGAGAATCTTAAGCAAGCTCCACGCCCAGCACCAGGCGAGGCAGGGCTGGATCTCACGACCCTGACACTTAACCGACTGAGCCACCCAGGTGCCCTGAAGAAGATTTCTCTAATAGTACTTATTATATAGCTACTTATTTTCCCCCATAATTTAACCTGCTTAAGATTAGGAGGCTTGTTTTATTCATTTTTGTCATGACATCTAGTCTGTAGTAGATGTTTAGTAAACATTTCTTATTGAAAAATTATTTTGCATGTAAAGTAATTCCAAAGATGTGTGACTGTCCTTAAAAATACTTACCATCAAGCCAGCTGCTGAAAAATATTAAAGATAAGAGTAAGGCTTGGGGCACCTGGGTGGCTCAGTTGGTTAAGCGACTGCCTTCAGCTCAGGTCATGATCCTGGAGTCCCGGGATCGAGTCCCACATCAGGCTCCCTGCTCAGCAGGGAGTCTGCTTCTCCCTCTGACCCTCCTCCCTCTCGTGCTCTCTATCTCTCATTCTCTCTTTCTCAAATAAATAAAATCTTTTTAAAAAAAAGAGTAAGGCTTAAAATTCTAGCATTCCTGCATTGTTTCAGTCATTCATTCCAGAGTGTTTTTGGGGCCTCTATGTGCTGTGTATTTTAACTTCATGATTAATTTCCATCTGTCCTCTAAGGCTCTTTCATCATTTCCACTGTTATCAATTTTATTGATCAACTGTG